TAATATAATTAAAGATTAAAATAATTAAGGATTATAATAAATGGTGGTTAAGAGAGATTGAGAACCACTCCACATTGTTTATTATATAAAAGTCAATAGTTAGTAAATCATATTTAAATAAAATCTGATTTTATTTAAATATTACTAAATATTGATTATTTTATACTAAAAAGTTTAGTATAAATATGTGTAAAGAGTTTACATAAAATTTGCTAAGTCATTTTTCCAAAGTTCTTCCAAGAGAGAAACACATTCAAAGAGTTGAGTGTAATATCAAGAAAAGTTCTTGAAATATTTCCTTATAAAATATATATATTCTATACTATTGAAAATCGAGAAGTTTCTACTAGCGAAGAAGCTATCGTCGGAACCCGATTTCGAAAGGTGGATACGTTTAGAGGGAAGACACGTGGATTCCTAAAGCGAGTAACCACAAGCACAAGAAGTGAAGTGACGTTACCAATCCAGAAACCGATTTCCTCAATCCATCTACGATTTTAAAGGAGTTCAAGATTAACGGTAAATATTGTATTTACTATCAAACAAATCAAAATTTGTATTATTACATGTTTTTAAAGATGACGATCTGTTAATTCGCCATATGTATGTACGAGATATGTATTTAATTGTTAAATACATGTTTTAAATTTTTTTTAAATTCCGCTGCATATAGCTCGTACGGTACAGGCGAACCCAACATGAAGGCGGTGAAGCACATCATCAAGTATGTGCATGGTACATCTGACTTGGGTATTTTGTACTCACGAGACACATCTTCTAGTCTTGCAGGTTATAGTGATGCAGATTGGGCAGGAAACGTCGATGATCGACGCTGTACCTCTGGTGGTTGTTTCTACATTGGCAATAATCTCATCTCCTGGCTTAGTAGGAAGCAAAATTGCGTAGCACTCTCGACAGCTGAAGCCGAATACATATCTGCTGGAAGCTGCTGCTCTCAGCTCATGTGGATGAAGCAAATGATGATTGAGTTTGGTCTTGAGGTAAGAACCGTGAACCTTTTCTGTGACAATACCAGTGCAATTAACATCTCTAAAAATCCGGTTCAACACTCTAGGACTAAACACATAGATATTCGGTATCACTTTATCAGAGATTTAGTCAAGAATGATGTGATTATACTTGAGTATGTTTCTACGCAAAACCAGTTGGCTGATATTTTCACTAAAGCACTGGATTCTCAAAGGTTCATTTCTCTAAGGAAATCCTTAGGGATCTGCTCATTCTGAATGCTTGTGTGATTTTGCATTATATTATATTGTATTGTATAGTAATTATCTATTGCATTGCGTGTAAGCATATAGGGTATTTTGCATTAGGCATATTTTGCATTTTGCATCCTCTGCACCACTGGATTCTTGATTGAAGTTCTAACTCTTCTGAAAACTTGAAAGGTGTTGATTGTCTAAGACTGACTGCGTGTTCTTACAGTACCGAGGAACGTACTTATTTTCTGTATTTTTGGTTTTTGTCACAAAGAGTTGTCTTCTCATAAATGATCTAGAGCGATAGCTAGCACATGGTTCGTTTTCCAATGCGGGATCGACTGTGAAAAGAGCGTCTGGGAAAGAAAATATTGAGAAATGGCGTAAGCTAGTGACACACATTGCATATTACTATGTGGTGTTCTTACTCGGAGTAATAAGTGTTAGAGTAGTATACCCAGAGTTCCAATTTGATTGGACGTATTCTACTTGT